GAACTTGACTTTTGTAGCACTTGTACCTGTGCCGAAAGGCCCACCGCCCTCCTTCCCCTAACTCATGAATTATCCCTTCTTCTGCAAGGATCTTCTCACCATCGGCGATCGGACTCCTTCTAGAACGGTCGGCCAGTTGCCGGAATAGGAAATGTTGCGGTCGCATTGATGCCGATGTGGTTATATAAGCCTGCCCAAGCAGCTATGACGTTTTCCCGTCGGCAATCCTCCAAGGACTCCAACCCACACCTACCAATTTCCCTTGGGGCGTAGAGTCTGCCTGGATCTGTTTATGATATCAGGAAGCCCGGTGTTCATTAACTTGCTTCAAAATAAGCTATAATTCATTGTCCGGTTCTCTGGCAACTTTTCCATTTGCTTTGACCTGCATGCTGCCTTTTGGTCAAAGTGCTGGTGATTCTCATACATATTTTGTTCTACTAATTTGGGATATGGACAAAAAAATTTGAAATTCGAATTTAGTTTTTATTCCAAAATTTCTTATCATTTAATGTCATATATCTGATAGAAAGAAGGAAAAAAAATGGTAAACATGAGCAAGGAATGAACGAAGCCTAATCTCTCTATGTTTATCCCAGATATGCCCGAAAAAGGTGAGAGTTAATTTCACAAATTTTATAATAATTTTACAAATTTTCCAATTTTCTGATTCTCCTATCTTCCTTTTTGATTCTTCTGCTTATTTCATTTCTTGCTAATGTACCTTTCTATTATTACACATTATCTCAACACGTTACCTGTTGTACCCGTAGCTGCTCCGAACAAAATGCGCCCATTGATTGCCGAGCCAGCAAACCCTCGCTTCGATGAGTGCATGAGGATTCTTCCCTGCAAAAATCGAACACAATAATTTGTAATTTATTAACTCGCAATTTACCAAAGTCAGCAAAATTTCAATATGAATCTGAAAATTCAAACCTTTGGCGGATTGCCAGTGCGTAGAAAAAACCTCGAAAGGCGCCATAACTGCTTGCTAAACATTTTTTTGAATCTGTAAAATACAAAGAAATTGTTGGTACACATCGTCAGTATGATACTTTCATTGCGCTCAAAGTGTGGCAACGATCGAACGCGCTGGTGATGCACAACATACACATACATACACACATACACATACATGCACGCACATACACACATACATACAAACATACACACATAACACATACATACACACATACATACATGCATAAACACAATGCATACATACATACAAACATACATACAAACATACATGCATACACACACATACACATACATAAACACATACATATAAACATAC